ACCAGAAAACTGGAAGTGGCGCTGTGGACTGGAGGGGCCTCACCCCTCCTCCCACCCTCAGCCTGGCGAGCATGCGCGCTGCAGGTGACACACACACATACACACACACTGCGTCTGCACACGAGGCGCTGGGTGCCAGGCGAGAACACTGAGGTGTGGCCTTGGGGGACCCCAGCCGAGGCCGGGACCTCGCTGCCGCGCCAGCGGTGACTGTCGCCTGGCTTCTGGGAGCTGGGTCCTGGCTCCAGGACCAGCACCAGGGCGCGGGCTTTCTGGCAAGGAGGAGGGGATGGGGAAGAGCAGGCTGGGGCCTGGCACGGGGACAGGGTTTGTTTGTACCTCTTTGAAGCTGGGAGATGAAAGCCGGGGCCCACATGGCTGCCTTTGATTCTCTCCTCCCGGGCCCCACGCAGCTGCAGCCCGGCCAGCACCCAGCCCTTCGCTGCCCCAGGGGCCAGACGGGGCCCCGGGCCCCAGGCGGGCTGGAGGGGAGGCGGACCAAACGTCTCCCTTTCCACAGACCCGTCCAGCAGGGGCTGCAGAGCGGCCTGGCGCGGCGAGGGGTTCACCGTGTCACCCACTGGCGCCTGTCACCACCATCGTCATCATCTCTGAAGAGAGCGCCGGCTTTGAGGGCAGCACCTGCCCCTGAGACCCGGCCTGACCCCTGGCCTCGGTGGCCTCCGTCCCTGGGTCTCTCTGTATTGGATTCCTGCTGCCTCCTGGGGTAGAACAGATGCTCTGGCTTGAGCTGGGGACAGGAGCAAAGTGGGTGAGAGCCAGGGCCTGTGGGCTCACAACAAACCAAAGGCTGGCAAGGCTCTTTCCAGTTGCTTCCTTCTGTCCCTAGTGCCCGCAGAGGAGGAAGGGACAGAGGTCAGACACCCACCCATGGTCATACAGCACATGCCCTGGCAGGATTGGAACCAGGGCCTGACCAAGCCCCAAATCCGTGTTCTTTCTCTCCAATCACACTGCCAAGAACGTCGGCCTTCTTCCTCTGGGCTCTTCCACCTCAGCCTGAAGTTGTCCCCAACCACAACTCTTTCCATGAGAGGAATGGCCTCCCAGGCAGACAGACAGACAGACAGACAGGGTGGGACTTCATCCACTCTGAACTTTGTGACACTCATCTCTGCACCAATACAAGAATTCTCAACACAAAGGTGGCCAGCAGGCTGACTTCAGTCTCTTTCTCCTTCCTTCCTTCCTTCTTTCCTTCCTTCCTTCTTTCTTTCCTTTTTTTCTTTCTTTCTTTTGGAGGGTGGTCCTGGCACTTGATCTCAGGACCTCTGAGCTTTTCTGCTCAAGGAGAGCACTCTACCATTTGAGCCACAGCTCCATTTCCAGCTTTTTGGTGGTTAAGTGGAGATAAGAGTCTCACAGACTTCCTGGCCTGGTCTGGCTTCGAACCATGATCCTCAGATCTCAGCCTCCTGAGTAGCTAAGATGACAGGCGTGAGCCACCATCATCCATTAAACCCTTTTTTAATACTTTGAGCCGTGATGGGTTGAATTCGTTGTGATTAGACCAGATAAATTTAACTAGCATCTCCAGCTCACAATTTCCCATATATTTCTGCTTAGGTCTAAGGGGGGAAAGCAGAAAGGAAGTGACCCAGCAGGTGATGGGGGGAGGGGCCGGGGGTGCCCTGGGGGGCGGGAAGAGACACCTCATCCTGCAGACATGAACCACAAAGATCAGCGTCCATCAGGGAGGCAGGGAGGCTGAGTCTGAGGAGCAAGGCCAGGGGGCAGCTCCCCATCCATCCACCAGGGGCCTGGAGACCACATTGCCGCCCCCATCCCCGGGTGCGGGTCCGCAGCTGGCTGATGTACAGCACACATGTTTTGACTGAAGCCGCCCCCCCTCTCCCGAACAGGCCGACATTAAAGGGAACGTAGCTTTGTAAAACTGGAACTGTAAAACACTTCTGAAACCCAGCCTGAGGGATTAAAGAAACCACATGAAAAGGGGCGCGGGGCGACCTGGATGCTGACTTCCCGTTCAGAAGTTCCCTCCACATATGCCTCCCACCCGGGCTGGTGGCATGGAGGGAGGAGGAGGAGGAGGAGGAGGAGGAAGGCCAAGGCTAGGGAGGGCCTCGAGATGCTCGTGGAAATCCGAACTTTGGTTAAAGTGCCTGGTCTGGTGACCTAAGGCGTGGCCAGCCCCGGCCTCTGACCTCAGGACATATTGAGAACCCTGGACATTGGCCTTGGCTTTGACATCCGCTCAGTTAAAAGACCACAGCTGCCCAAGCTGGTATCCTAGCTACTCAGGAGGCTGAGATCTGAGGATGGCGATTTGAAGCCAGCCTGAGCAGGAAAGTGCGTGAGACTCTTCATCTTCAATTAAGCGCTAGGAAAGCCAGAGCCAGAGCTGTGGCTCAAGTGGGTAGAGCAAAAGAGCTCAGGGACAGCAGCTAGGCCCTGAGTTCAAGCCTCAGGTCTGGTGTACATACAAATACTCATGTGCGCACGCGCACTCGATCACAGCTGTCCAACATCTGGCTTCTGCCATTCCCAACACGGTCCTCACTTTGTGGGACACCTGGCAGCGCAGGATGACCTTAGAGCCCCAGCTCAGCTTCTTCCCCTTCTGGCCACAGAGCCAACTGGGTTCAAATCCCCTGTCTGATACTTTTTAGCGGTTGGAGCCACCCAAGGGCCCTAAAACCTTCACACCCTGGGGCTGTCATGGGGGAAGGCTAGCAAAATGCCTGGCGTGTGGTGAGGGCTGAAAGGAGGGCAGCTACCCACTGCCACTGCCCCGTGCCACCCCTGTGGGCTGGGCAAAGGTGCAGGTGCCCTGTGCTGGAAGGCAGAGGAAAGAGAGGCTGGCATCTTCTGCCCTCACTGGACTAGAGTGAGCTTCCTCCCGGGGCTCCCGGCTCGCTAGCTATGTCCAGTCTGAAAGGAGAGCTTTAAAATGTAATCAAAGCCAGGTGGCCTGTCATCCTCGCTACTCAGGAGGCTGAGATCTGAGGGCCATGGTTTGAAGCCAGCCTGGACAAGAAAGTCCATGACCCAAAAAATAATATATAAATAATATATATATATAAACACACACACACACACACACACACACACACACACACATATATATATATAGTAATCAAATGTCTAGAGAAGGCCTGGATGCAAGCCTCAAGCGGCAGAGTACAAACTCCCAGGAAAGCACAAAAAAGGAAATACAATTGACAGTGGTAGAGTGCCTGCCTAGCATGCAGAAGGCCCCAAGTTCAAATCCAAGTACCACAAATAAAATAAAATAAAACAACTCAATACAAGCCAGGCACTTGTGGCTCACGCCTATAATCCTAGCTACTCAGGAGACTAAGATCCAAGGATTGAAACACTTTGAAGGCAGCCCAGGTAGAAATATCCAAGAGACTCTTACCTCCAATTAACCAGCCAAAAGCTAGAAATGGAGGTATAGCTCAAGTGGTAAAGCATCAGCCCTGAACAATAAAAGCCAAGTGAGAGCACAAGGTCCTGAGTTCAAGCCCTAGTACTGGTGCACGCGTGTGTGTGTGCGCGCGCACACACACACACACACACACACACAACTAAGCTGAGCACTGGTGGCTCATGCCTGTAATCCTAGCTACTCAAGAGGTGATCTGAGGATTGCAATTCAAAGCCAGTCTGGGCAGGAAAGTCCACGAGACTCTTTTTTTTGTGTGTGTGTGTCTGGTCATGGGGCCTGAACTCTGGGCCTGGGCGCTGTCCCTCAGCTCTAGGCTAGCGCTCTACCACTTGAGCCACAGCGCCACTTCCGGCTTTTTTCTTTTTGCTTATGTGGTGCTGAGGAATCGAACCCAGGGCCTCAGGCATGCAAGGCAAGCGCTCTACCATTGAGCCACCTTCCCAGCCCTCCATGAGACTCTTATCTCCAATAAATCACCAGAAAACCAGAAGTGGAGCCATGACTCAGAGCGGTAGAGTGCTTGCCTTGAGCGGAAAAGCTCAGAGACAGTGCCCAGGCCCTGAGTTGAGCCCCACTACCAACCAAAACAAACCAAAACAAACAACAGAAAAAGAAAACACTGAAAAGCAAGAGATGATGAACTGGGCCAGAAGAAATTCAGATAGTCTAGTCTGGGACCTGGGGAACAAAAAGGAGATGAGGATGATGTCTTTTTCCCACAGCTAGAGGACCTAGGCAGAGCCCTGAAAGGCCTCCTGTTGAGGCTGGTAGGGGCCGGCCGCTTGACCAGAGCTGTGGACAAAAGAAGTCTCATGTGTGGACAGATCCTTCCTGTGCATACCCCCTGGGACACGCTGGACCCCCCTCCACCCCACACAGACCCCCCAGCCACCTCCCACCTTCCTGAAAACCCTCCCTCCATTCTATAAACTCTTCATGCCCTCCAGTGTCCCCCGCAATCACTTACCTAATATTAGGATATTAAAAAATATGGCAAGATTTTAAGAGACTTATTAAAATGCAATTAGCAACGTGTACGACTTAAGCAGGGAGATTATTTTTAAAAATGACTTGATTGTACAGAATACCACGCACCTCTTCCTGACGCCGTAAACCTGCCAATCACGCACGTCCTCCAATGAGGGGGTTTTCCTCGCTTGCTCTTTGTCCTTCAGGATTTTCTCCTCCCCTCCTCCCTGTGACCAGGAATGTGCACAGATGCACCAGGAGAACCCCACCCCCGCCCTGTGAAGGACCCTTCCCTCAGAACGAAGCCCATCAGACACGCAGCAAAGTCTGGGAAGTCTTGAGAACTGGCCATAGAGTGGACAAGGGATGAAGTCCCTCCCCCCAGCCTCCACCATCATTATGGCTTTGATGCCCCCAGAGACAGGATGGCAAGCTATCTGCCCCCTGTTGAAGGGTTTGGGTGGGAAGAGCCAAAGGGTAAAGGAAGGGGTCCTAGGGAAGGAAGGCGACTGCTGACCTCTTCAGAGAATCCCACCCCCCCCCCCAGCTCAAAGCACCCCTCCCCAACAGTGCCCAATGGTCAGGCTGGAACGGTGTCTTATGCTGCCCCCTGCTGCCCATGGTCGGCACTGCAGCTCTGCGCCCGGGGAAGGCAATGTGTGGAGTCCAGGTGTGAATCTTCCTCCAGCTGGGTGGTCCTCGGGGGCCATCTTCCGCCACTCTCATCTGCAGAGAGACAAAGGCGTGGAAATGTGAGGACTGCTGTCCAGCCGGCCATCGCCTTCCACCCTGCCCTGCCCTGGCCCTGGCTGACCGGCTGAAGTTTATCAAACGTGTTGGTTCCTTTCCTGGCATGAGGTGCCCGGGTTCTCTTATTCCAGCTGGTTCACTGGGAAATGAAGGCCCATGTCCCTGACAGCTGACTCTTCGCAGAGTGCTCACTCAGCGGCCAGGCGAGATTTGTGCTTCCTGGATGCATCTTTGTCCCACCGCGACTGGAAATTGGGGAGAGAGCTGGAGGACAGAGAGCCTTCCTGCCTAGGAGCCCTGGAAACATGCGGTGTCCCCCCAACCCCCCTTTCCTGAGGAGGACAGCAGGCTTCCTACCCGGGAGCAGCCTCTAGCAAGGCCTTAATCCTCCGTGTTCTTATCTGTAAAATAGGGAGAATATGAGGCTGGGAAGGTGGCTCAGTGGTAGAGCACTCGCCTTGAGCTGAAGAGTTGAGAGATAGCGCCCAGGCCCAGAGTTCAAGCCCCACAACCAACAAAACAAAAACAAATAGGGAGAATGTTTCCTCTCTCCTCAAAGGAATGTGTAGAGTACCATGCGCAGGTGGACGTGTCTGGTCTTTGGAAACTGGGCGAATGTCAGGTATTTGCCTTATACAGAGTCAGGGGAATTCTCTGACTTGGGGTGTGCAGGCTGCTAGAACTCACCCTGTGTTCCCTGAAGTTTCAGTTGAAGGGAGATGAAATTTTGCTTTTTTTCTGTGTGTGTAATACTGCAGTTTTAAACCCAGAGCTTTTATGCTTATTAGACAAGAGCCCTACCAGTTGAACCATGCCCCCAGCCCAGTTTTTATGCTTCAGTTATTTTTCAATTAGGCTCTTACTTTTTTTTTTTTTTTCCTAGCCCAGACTGAACCATGATCCTCCTGTTTACACTTCCCTGGTAGCCAGGATAACAGGTATGTGTCACCAGTCCTGGCTGGTTAGTTGAGATGGGGATTTTACTTCTCTTCCGTCACCAGCTGGTTTCAAAATGCAATCCTCTCAATCTGCAGTACCCATCTCCCAAGCCTCTCAAGGAGCTGGGATTAAGTACTTTACCATTGAGCTGGGTCCCGGGCTGAAGAATTTGTGTCTCTAACAAGTTCTTAGGAGGTACTGACAGAGCTGGTCCAGCTGTGAGAACTGCTCTTCTGAGTGTAAATCTGGGAAATGGACAGCTCAGCCTGGCCCCCAGGGGAAGAAAGAACAAGAAATGAGAGGTCACCTCGGAACAAGTTGGGGTGAGCTGAGGCTGGCTACGAGAAAACAAGCTTTTGGACTGGACTCTGGTGGAGCACACCTATGACTCTAACTGCTCGGGAGGCTGAGATCTGAGGATCACAGTTCAAAGCTAGTCTGGGCAAGAAAGTCCATGAGAGTCTTTGTTGTTGCCGTTGTTTGTCAGTCAGTCTGAGGCTTGAACTCAGGGCCTGGGCGCTGTCCCTGAGCTCTTTTGCTCAAGGTTGGTGCTCTACCACTTTGAACCACAGCACCACTTCCAGTTTTCTGGGGATAAGTCTCATGGATTTTCCTGCTTGGACTGGCTTTGAACCATGATCCTTCGATCTCAGCCTCCTGAGTGGCTAGGATGACAGGCGTGAGCCACCAGCACCTGGCCCCAGAGACTTACAATTAACCACCAAAACAAACAAAAAGGTGGAGTTGTGGCTCAAAGAGGTAGAGCACTAGCCTTGAGTGGAAGAGCTCAGGAACAGTGCCCTGGCCCTGAGTTCAAGCCCCACAACTAAAAAAAAGAAAAGAAAGGAAGCTTTTGTCCATTTCGGCCCATTTTCTCCTCTGTCCTGATTTAGTCTGCCCCCTCTGCCTGCCCCCAGCCTCCCCTGCAACTCCCCGACTACTGAGCTCTGAGGCATGGAGAGGCAACAGGGCCAGGGACCCTGATCTGATTCACTCCAGGCCGTTGGTCACGGCAGGGCAGATCGGCTCTCCTGACGCCCAGAAGAAAACTGCTCTTCCCCACGCCGCCTCTCTGGTTACACAGTAATTTGGAGAATTACTGAGCGGATAACTACAATTCTAGTTTAAGTAAGCTTCAAATACCCAACAGAGACTTTTGCAAAGAGTGTGGTGATGTGAAAGTGTGTGTCTTGGGATGCATCTAAAATCTGGGGATTCGCGATCCTCGAGAAGGAAAAGCAATGAGCTTTGATGCGGCCAGGAAGGCTACGGGTGGTGGGCAGCCAGAAGTGCTCAGAGCTGGCTCCACAGGAGGGCGGAGACCAGCAAAGCCTGAGTTCTGGAATAGCTTGAACTGTCTGTAACTTGGCCCAAGATGTCACCACAGCCTACCATGTCCATTCTAAGCAAATGACCGCAAGGAAAACCATGTCTCCAGGCAGAGATGGGGCCAGTATGTACATGGGCCTATGTACAGGGCTCCGGGATGAGGGGCGGGTACCTCCCAGGCCCTGGCACATCCAAAGCCAGGGTCACAGACAGAGGGAGAAGAGAAGTCCTCACCCCACCCCCTAGGACTCCATGAATGTCAGTCCTCTAGCTACTCAGGAGGCTGAGATCTGAGGATCAGGCTTTGAAGCCAGCCCAGACAGATAAGCCTGGGAGATTCTTATCTCCAATTCATCAGCAAAAAGCCACAAGTAGAGCTGTGGCTCAAGTGGTAGAGGGCCAGCCTTGAGAGAAAAAAATTAAGTGAGAGCGCAGGCCCTGAGTTAAGCCCCTGTACTGGCAGACAAACAAACAACCTTCCTGCTTGGGGAATGAAGCTCAGTGGTAGAGTCCTTGCCTTGCATGCATGAGGCTCTGGGTTCGATTCCTCAGCACCACAGAAACAGAAAAAGCCGGAAGTGTCACTGTGGCTCAAGTGATAGAAAACAAGCCTTGAGCAAAAGACACTCAGAGACACTGCTCAGTCTGAGTTCAGGAAACAAAACAAACAAAACAAATGTTCCTAAGCCAGGCACTGGTGGCTCTCGCCTGTCATCCTAGCTACTCAGGAGGCTGAGATCTGAGGACTGTGGTTCAAAGCCCACCCAGGCAGGAGAGTCTGTGAGACTCTTATCTTCAATAAACCACCAGAAAACCAGAAGTGGCGCTGTGGCTCAAGTGGTAGAACTCTAGCCTTGAGCTGAAGAGCTGAGGGACAACATCTAGGCCCAGAGTTCAAGCCCCATGACTGAAAAAAAAACCCAAAAAGCATAAAACACGTTTCCTGTTGGACTGAGGTCAGAATAAACCCTGGGCTCCTGGGGGTGGGGGGGCCCTCCCCACGGACTCACCACCCCCACACCACCCACACCAATGGGCTGCTTTCTCATCCTCCAAACCACCTCGGGATTCTAGTACTTTCTGCTGCGTTGCTTGGATCCCCTTGTTCAGCTATTTTGTTTGGTTTTATCACAGCATCTTGCTAGGTAGCTCAGGCTGGTCTTGAACTCACGAGTCTCCTACCTCAGCCTCTCGGGTGCTGGAATTGCAGGCATCTTCAGATCACTTCCTTCCCTCCTCTTCGAGGGACCCTGACCTTCTCGCCCAAAGCAGCTGCAATTGTCCACATGCATCGATGACAGGTCTCCAACCCTCTGTACGACGCACACGTGTGCGCACGTATACACACACACACACATACACACACACACACACACATACACACACACACACACACACACACACCAGTGCTCCTGCCAGTGCTTGGCAGAGTTGTCAAATGTCAGCGTCTCAGACACATGCTGTGGAAGACAAGAGAATCATGGACACCACCATGTCCGGAAGTCTTCCTACGCTGGCGTCCTGGACTTCCGTGATCTGAAAACCAATCCTGCCAGGGGAGGTAGAGGCCTGGGCCTCTTGGCACAGACGGGCACTGCCAGCCCTGAGCAGCAACTGCCCGCGGAGGCGGAGGGAGGGGGAGGACTGGCCTTGGAGTCACGGCTCAGACTCAAGAAGGGAAATCACCGGAGCTTTTAAAAAATTAAATGGAGTCAGTAATTTGATTTCAGAGAGAAGCTGAAAAACCTCGTAATGGCAGGAGCCGCTCAATGCCCTGGCCGGTGGTGAAAAGGAAAAGCCTTAAATGGGGCTATTAAGCTCCTGCCTGGGACGGAGCTGCCCCGGGGGGGGGGTGCAGCATGCGGGGGGGGGTGCAGCATGTGGGGGGGTGCAGCGTGCAGGGGGGGGCCATCTTCTGGGAGGGACCGTTTATCAGCCAGGACAACTCTGATTATTTATTTATTTATTTAGCCCACGTCCTGGATGGGGGAGGGCGCCCCCCCCAGCATTGCCAACAACCATGTCAGCCTGTACGCTACTCCTTGGCTCCATGTCAACCCTCACTTCCAGCTTGAGGGGAGAGGGGTGCGGGGAGGGGGGGGCCGGGAGGGCTGGGCGGGCCATTCTGCCCTCCTAGGGAAGCAGGCCTGGCCTGGGCACCCAGTCACACACGGCTGCTGCTGGACCGCTGGGCGCACTGGGTCATCCAAGGTCATCCGAGGTCATCGTCAGAGGTCACGGGGCTGTCGGAGCTAGCAGGGGACCAGCTGCTGCCACCGAGACCCGAGGAGGCATCCCTTAGGAGAAAGCAAAGCCCTGATGCTCCTCCTCCCCCCGCCCCTGGGGTCCCCCTAGGAACCCCTGGTCCCTTGAGACCCCCCCCGCATGGGGGAGGGCTGCCCTTGGCCCAGGAGCAGCACAGGGTGCCCACTCTGAGTGCTCGCGGCTCTGGAGCTGGGCTGTGAGCAGAGCACATGCGCTTTGCTCTGTCCCTCCACTCGGAACTCAACAGCCCCACCCAGAAGAAATTAGAATCTTTTTTTTTTTTTTTGCCAGTCCTGGGGCTTGAACTCAGGGCCTGGCCACTGTCCCTGGGATTCTTTGTTCCACTTTGAGCCACAACTCTACCCACTTCTGCTTTTCTGGCGGTGGATTGTAGGGAAGACTCTCAAGGACTTTCACTTCCCCGGGCTGGCTTTGAACCACGATCCTCAGATCACAGCCTCCTGAATAGCTAGGATTACAGGCAGGAGCCACCAGCGCCTGGTCTGATGCTTTTGCTCATTGGCTGGTGCTCTACCACCTAAGCCACGCCTCCAGACCCATCAAACCCCTTTGGACAGTGAGACTGAGTCCAGAAACACAGCTGGGTCAGCCCTGGAAATGCACCAGCACCCCTTCCCGCCGGCAGGCCAAGTCCCCAGGCACCACCGGTCACTCTTCAGACTCACCCCAGGGGTCTCCAGGGACCGGGGCCTCTGCGGGGACCCCTCTTCCATGTGTCACAGCCCAGGAGGCCTGAGACTCCCAGGACCCACAGCTGGCCTGTGCTCCGCCGGCTCCAGCGGTGGCGGCGAGCCCCCCTGACCAGCAGAGGAAGGGTTTCCAGGATCAGTCAGGCGGGGCAATACCGTTTGTGTAGGAGCCCACAGACTGGAGATGGGCCGAGGTGAGGGGCTGGCTGTGTGTGCAGCTCCCTGCTTCCACCAGACCCCCGGGGCTGGCTGTACGTTCAAGGCTCTGTCTAACTCTCCTACGGATGAGACTAGAAGCTTCTCAGAAGTGGAGGCCACAGGGCTTTCTGGGAAAGCTATCCGGGGGGCTGCTGGCTGCCCAGGGGGCTCTGACACCCCCGGGTGGCTGCGGGTGCCTGCCTGGCCCCCTCCTGCAGTGGGAAGTCTCTCCTGCCTTGGGTGTGGGGGTGACTGGCCCAGGGGCCCCCAAGTCCTGTCCTGAGGGGGGCCATGCTCCATCTGGGGTGGCCCCTCGGCCTCGGTGATGAAGGCTGTTTCCTGGGGGGAAACTGAGGCCTCTTTAGCCAGGCCAGTCCACAGGGGCCACCTTGATGGCTGGACGTCCCCACTGGCCTGGTCTGGCATGTCCTGGCTGGGCTGGACTGTAGATAGTGCTCCCAGGCTTCCTGGTAGCTGGGCAGGGTCCTGCTCCAGCCTCCTTGTTCTGGAACCTTCCATGAAGGTAACAGATGGGAGCACTTTGGATCCGTCCAACCCCCAGGGGAGCTGTGGAGAAGAGACTTCTGGGGGTAAATATGCAGTCAGGGCAGGGGGATCCTGGGAGACTGGATGTAAGGGCTTAGCCCGGGCAGCTGCTGTGGGCTCTGAGGAGAGTGTGGCTGGAGGCCAGGGAGACTGATTCCCTAGGAGTCCTGATTCCCCCAGGGGATCCCGGGGACCACACTGATCTTGGGTTGTTCTGGAAAGACCAGCTGCGGTGGAGGCGTGGCTTCCTCCTGGAGGTCCGGCTGCTGGCAGGGATGATGGGGGCCCCTGTAGGACCAATGGAGAGAAACAGCTTCAAAGCAAGATGCCCGTGGCCCCGGACACCCTGCAGATCTCAGGAGGGCCCCGGGGCACCCCATCTCAGGCTGGGGTTCTCACCCCAGGGGGAAGCATGCCTCTCCCCGTTTGTGAACACAGAGTCTGGCAGGGCAGGACGTGTGACCCAGACTTCTCAGGGAAATGTCCAGAGTTGTGAGGGGTGGGGGGCAGGCAGCTGGGGCCGGGGGAGGCTGGGATTCTCCTTCAAGAACAGAGGCGGTGGAGAGAGGACGGGCTGGAACCCAGCCCTGGACTTGCCCGGGTCAGCCCCGTAGGCTGGCGCTGGGTGGTGGCAGCAGACGACGTTCCTTCCGGAAGGGTCTCCAGGCTCGGGGATGCATTGGATGCAATAATCCTGGGTGTGACTGTCGAGGCAGGGAACTCTGCTCCAGAACCTTCCAGAAAGGAGGCAGAGGTCAGCTTCCTCCCAAGGAAACAAAAATCCCTGCCTCCTGCCTCCCCTTTTTCCTCAGGTGGATGAAGGATGTCTGGAGGTCAAGTTCAAGCACAGGTCTGTGTGTGTGTGTGTGTGTGTGTGTGTGTGTGTGTATGTGTATGTATGTGTGTGTGTGTGTGTGTGTGTGTGTGTGTTGTCTCTTAGCACTGTCCCTTAGCTTTTTTTTGCCAGTGTTGGTACTCTACCACTTGAGCCACAGCCCCCCTTTCTGGCTTTTTGCTGGTTCTTTGGAGATAAGAATCTCACGGACTGGGTTGGGAAGGTGGCTCAGTGGTAGAGCACTTGCCTTGCATGCCTGAGGCCCTGATTCCTCAGCACCACATAAGCAAAGAGGAAAAAAAAGCCGGAAGTGGCGCTGTGGCTCAAGTGGTAGAGCGCTAGCCTTGAGTTGAAGAGCTGAGGGACAGCGCCCAGGCCCAGAGTTCAGGCCCCATGACCGGACCCAAACAAACAAACAAACAAGAATCTCCTGGACTTTGCTGCCTGGGCTGGCTTTGAACCTCAGTCTCAGATCTCAGCCTCCTGAACAGCTAGGATGACAGGCTAAATCTCAGATTTAGAAAGCTTAGATTTCTTCAAAGACCACCCGGCCCTGAAACCTTGGATCTACTTGCACATCACCAGCCACCAGCCTTTTCCTTCAGTTTCGGGACTCACCCGAGTCGGGCTCGGCTCCTTGGTGGGTGGGGCTCAGGTGAGGCTCAGCCCAGGCACCACTGACTTCCGGGGCCAGCTCGCTCTTTGTGGAGTGTGGGATTGAAGCAGTGTGCATGGCACGGTCTCCCACGGTGTCCTGGTCTCCACCCTCTACCCTTGTGCATTGCAACACACAAAACCTCTCCAGAGCTGGGCGCCCGTGGCTCACGCCTGTCATCCTAGCTACTCAGGAGGCTGAGATCTGAGGATTGAGGATCAAAGCCAGCCCAGGCTTGAAAGTCCGTGAGATTCTTATCTCCAATAAACCACCAGAAAACTGGAAGTGGTGCTGTGGCTTAAGCAGTAGAGCGCTCACCTTGAGCTGAAGAACTGTGGGACAGCGCCCAGGCCCAGAGTTCAAGCTTCACGACCGACAAAAAAAAAGAAAAAAATAAACCTCCCCAGAGAGGCCTAGTATCCCCAGGGAGGCAAGCACCACCCCTGATGGGGGAACTTGGTGTTAGAACTCGAAAATCCTAGCCCATGCAATAATGTAACTCTTAAACATCCTGGGATGCGGATGCTGGGAGCCAATGGCTCACGCCTGTAATCCTAGCTCCTCTGGAGGCTGAGATCTGAGGATTAAGGTTGGAGGTCAGCCAGGACAGACAAATCTGTGATACTTTTTTTTAATCTGTAATACTTTTATCTCCAATTAACAACCCAAACAAAGGGGCTGGGAAGTTAGCTCAGTGGTAGAGTGCCTGCCTTGCAGGCATAAGACCCTGGGTTCAATTCATAAGCACCACAAAAGCCACGAGTGGCGCTGTGGCTCAAGTGGTAGAGCGCAAGCCTTGAGCTAAAGAGCTGAGGGACAGCGCCCAGGCCCAGAGTTCAAGCCCCACAACTGAACAAAAAAAAAAAAAACAACCCAGAAGTGGATCTGAGACTCCAGTGGTAGAGCACTAGCCTTGAGCATGCCTCCATCCTGAGTTCAAGCCAAAAAATAGTAATAGTAACTAAACCAAACACTTTCTTCTCCAAGTTTCTCTTCTCCACACTAAACATTTTGATTCTCAACCCTTGGCTGGGCTGGGCCCTGGCAGCTCACGCCTGTAAACTCAGCTACCTAGGAGGCTGAGATCTGAGGACTATGGTTGGAAGCCAGCAGGGGCAGGAAAACCTGTGAGACTCTGATCTCCAATCCAGTATCCAGAAAAGGCTGGGAGTGACCCTGTGGCTCAAGTGGTAGAACACTGGCCTTGAGCATGCCTCTGCCCTGAGTTCAAGCCCCGGAACCCTTTGCTTCGGGGTGGGTGTCCGTTCGCATTGGGACTCACTAGTCACATATTCACGAAAAGAAAACAAATGTCCTTTGCCTAAAACATTTTGCAACAAAGAAATTCCTGGTGGAAACTCAGTCCCACAAGCACTGACTAAATGAATGCTACAGAGGACAAGGCCGAAGGGATTACCACGAGGCACAGACCCCAACCTGAAGGTGCTCCGGCTAGAGGCGGAGACACAAGCCAGCACCAGCAAGTATAAAGAAAGCAGAAAGATCTGGAATCTCCAGGGGGAAGCCCGGGGAGAGCGCTCTGGGGACCAGGCCGGGGAGAGATTCATTCCGGCTGCTGATATTACATTAATAAAAAGAGAAAGAGAACATTCTTTCCCTGTATAAATCTTTCCACAGAGGCCTCTCCCCACCCCCCCAAAAAAATTCTTCCTAAAATGTTTTTATTGCTATTGCTATTTTTGTAGTTTATTCATTATCACCTCGTGAGGAATCTATGTTCCCTTCAGAACACAGGACACAAAGCATTTTATAGGTGACATGACCCAACTCTGTGTGTGTGTGTGTGTGTGTGTGTGTGACACACATGCATGAACACCAGCGCTTGAACTGAGGGCTCCACGCTCTCACTTGATTTTTTCACTCTACCCCTCTACTTGTGGCTTTTTCCTGATTAATTGGAGATCAGAGTCTCACGAACTTATTTGCCCAGGCTAGCTTTAATCTCATTTTCCTGAATAGCGGGGATTACAGGTGAGAGCCCCAGGCCCCGCTGGGCTTTTCTTTCTTTGTTTTTCTTTTTTTTTTTTTTATCTCTCTTTCCTGACTGGACACCGTTGGAAGGCCAGGCCCCAACTTTGATGGCTTCTGCTTCTACCCAAGTATTTAATGAATAAAGTACTTAGTTGGCTGAACTCTCCTACCCCTCCCCTTCAGTGTCACCACGGCAGGAAACTGTAAAAAGAAAAGCAGCCAAGATGTGTAAAAATCGTTCAAGAAATAATTTCATTTTTAGTATACTATTAGAACTTATCCATTCCCCCCCCTTTCATCCCGCCTTTTTATTTTTCCTTTGTTTCTAATTCTGAATTTGAGGCTAGATGTGGTAGGCAGCCCCCCCCCTTTTAATCTTTAAATATAGTTCTGAATATAATTACATTTTTATGCAGCAGCAAAACATCATATCCTGGTAACAGGGCATTCTTTCGCTATTAACATCTGAGTTAAATCTCCTTTCCGTCTGTCTTCTATTGAAGACAGTCACCAAGCATGAGATGAAAGTGATCGACATCGTTTGTGAATTATGTGCATTTCCTTGTGCTGTATTTGAATGGGTTTTGCTCCTGGTGGTTTTTTGCATGTGTGAATTCCAGGTTGTCTGGTAGCAGAGCTTTCACCAAAACCAAAAAAAAAAACCAACCCTTTCAAGATGAGGTCCTGGTGTGGAGCACACGCGCCCCCCCCAACCCCCCTCCCCTTCCCAGGGAGGTCCCCTGGGGCTGAGCTCTGCTCCATCCCACTGGGCTCCCTGCCAAGGAGTCTGATGTATTAAGTGACCCCCAGGAAATGGAGCCCACACAGAGACAGCCGAACAGATCAGAACGGAAATGGCACGTCCCAGGCCAGGCCTCCAGGCCTAAGACACCAATTCCATCTTCTTGGCCTATCCCCGCCCCCCCCCCCATGGGGCTCTCATTTGCCAGATGAGAAAACCGAGGCCGAGCCATGGGAAGGAGCCCCCACCTCACTCCACCCCACCCCTGGCCCCATCCCAGCAGCATTGACTCCAGACCCAGGGACCTAGTTTACCACTTAGTCCCCAATTCCAGCTGGCAAACCCAAGAAAGAAAACCTCAGGTTAGGGCCAGGCCCTGGTGGCTCACTCCTGTTACCCTAGCCACTCAGGAGGTGGAGATCTGAGGATCAAATGTCAAAGCCAGCCAGGGCAGGAAAGTTGTGAGGGTCTTGTCTCCAGTTAACCACAGAAAAACCTGGAAGTTGAAGCTGTGGCTCAAGTGGGAGAGCGCTAGCCTTGAGCAAAAATGCCAAATGAGAATGTGAGGCCCTGAATTCAAGACTAGTACTCACACAAAAATGGAAGGAAGGGAGGAAGGGAGGGAGGAAGGAAGGAAGGAAGGA